CAGGCCACAGACAAAATGCAAATAGGCCAGGGCAGACCTCTGGCAGTTTGCAGATGGGCTGGGCAAACCCCAGACCTCCGATGGCCCAGGACAGACCTCAGACAGGCCACAGACAGACTTCTCTGCTGGGCAAGTAAAATGGCTCTGCCCTTTGGGGTTCTGCCCCCAGCCTTCCGGAGCAGCTTGCCCAGAGCTGCTAAAATCCCGCGTGAGGTGCCATATTTTGGCAGCACCGAGAGGGAGCTGATCTCAGGGCTGAGAACCTTTTAGGTCAGCTGGTCCTTAGCCTCTTCGTCCTGGAATTTTTAAACCGCTAGTAGCTGTTGTATTAGAATTGGCTGGCAGGTTAGGGCTTTTCCTAACAATCCTTGCGAGGGAGGGGCAGGGGCCACATCCCAGCTCTTCAGAAGGGGGTGAGCTGGCCCTTTGCCCTGCTGCCTCCAGGAGCCCAGTGCTGGGGGTTGCAGCCCTGGGCAGAGCCAGGGCTTCTGTCTGTAACCTCACAAACACTGTGCTCTAACCACTGGGTAGTCCCACCCCAACACCTGACTTGTGTCTCATGCAGGGCTTCCAAAGAGAGCTAGGCAGCTCAGGCTGGAATGAGGCAGCTTGTCAGTCAGTAGAGACCTCAACATTTCTCCCACCCCACTTGGAGTTGACCCCAAAGCTCAGAGACCCCAGAGGGAAAAAGTGAGGTGAGCCTCTGGAGAGGCTCAGGAGGAGCCCTACCTACTCAGGAGGTAGAAGGACTGGGGGCGAGGGAGGAGACAGTGTCAGAAACAGGACAGGCCAGCCTTGGTTCTACCAACACACATGGCCCCAGTCCCTCATGGAGCTTGCTTCTATGAGATGCCAGCTGGCTGCTTCCTCAGACCTGTTCATGGGCTTCCTGGGCAGGTACAGGGCATCAGGAGCTCAATGTCCTTCACGACTCCTGTCAAATGACCGAGTGGTTTCTCCATGACAGTGGGCCGTGGGTTGGTGCCAGTGCTGCCTCTGGGGTCGGCCAGCTCCGAAAATCCTCCATTGCTCCATGCTTGTGTGTGAGGGGCACCTGGAGGGTGCCAGGCCATCCCCTCCCCCCATCTAAGCTTCCCCCATTCTGTTATTCTGCACAGTAGAGCCTGGGAGGGCCAGCCTGCAGATGGTCCCTCTCACCTCCCCCACCCCAGAGAAGCTCCGCCTCCTCAGGGGGTGGGGCCTGGATATTCCCAGGCCTCATCAGTGCCTTAACGCCCCTGTTTGTTTCTGATCCTTCTCACCCGTTTGGATGGGCTGGGTGTTAGCCAGGCTGTGTTCAGCAGCTGTCCAAAATGGGTGCCGGAGTCTTAATTGGCTACTTTAATTTAAAAATTAATCAATTGAAAAATAAAGGTAGCTGAAAATACTCTTGGATTTGCAATAGGTCAAGTGATCGACTCTGGCTGGCTCACAGAGGCAGAGGCAGCTCCTGGCCGCCTGCTTAATGACCAGGATTAAATGCATGGAGCAGAATATCGATTTCTTCAGTTTTTTAGAAAACTAAGACTCTGACTCTTCCCTCCTGAGGATGGCCAGCGATGGGCAATCTGTGATGTTCCAAATTGCAGGTGGGAAATTAATGAAGCCCGGCTTCCCCGGGGCAGAGCAGGGGGGTCCACGGCAGGCACGGCAGCCTTGGAGCTCTCATTGACCCCTCCCACCACTAAGGAAATTGAGGCTGACAGAGGCTAAGTGACCTGCCCAGGGTCACCCGGCCAGTCAGCGTTCTTAGAAAGACAAACGAAATTAGGCTACGTGGCAGTGTTTATTTGTCTCAAAGCTGGTGGAATGTGTGTATGGAGATATGCAGGGAAGCTCACTGTAGACCATGAACCCAAGGATGGACTGACAAAGGGGACCTTATATCTTCAGAGCAGTCCCTCTTGGCCCTCCCTCCCTTCCTGGTTCAGGATGCCTGTTTCAGTCAAAATTATGGTCTCCATATGTGTTAACCGTGACATGAGAAAGGAATTTCTTAGTTGGATAGAATGTAAATACAGTAAGATAGGACACTGCCAAGGTATCCATTGAAGGTATAGAGCCAGGACATCTGTGTTTCCCCATCATCAACAGGACATAACGTAGCATATGTCATAAAGTACCAAGGTAAGAAAAGTCCCTCTATTCAAGACAGCGTCCATTCCAGGTGCCCTGTCCTTAGTGGTCATAAAGGGACGAATGCTCCTGGTCAGCTTCGTCCGGCCCTGTAGTTGCCAACCCAGGAAGGGGCATTTTGGGTTCCCTCAGAGAGCAAAGCAAAGTGTGTCTGTTGTACGAGAGCACTCAAGGCATCGTGGCAGGTTAAGCTCAGAGTGGGCCAAAATGTCCCTCCTGATGCCCATTCCAGGTCTTAGGCCTTTCTCAGGTCTTCGGGGTTCAAAATGTTTGGGGGAGGGGTCTGCATTGTCTGAGGCCAGATTGGAACTCTGCTCTTCCCAACTCCAGGTCTGGTGCTCTGGGCACTATGGTGCCCCTTAGTGAGCCCCTAGTAGTCCAACCCCATATTTTACACAGTGCACCCCAGACCCTCAGAGGTCATGTAAGTCTACAGGCAGGATTGGAACCCAGGTCCTCTGACTGATGCAGTGTTCTCCCTGCCCATTTGGAGTCCCAGCTCAAACATTCAGCTCCCTTCTGGAGAGTTGATGGGGACCTCGAAGGCCATCTAAACCAATGGCCTCTTTTTTGGGGGGGTGGGAGGGTAGCACAGTCCCATCAAGGCATGCATGGTCCCCCCACCTAGGTGTCCCCTGGGCCCTCTGCCCTCAGGGGTCCAACTCTGACAATGGGGGGAGGGGTAGCATCAGCTTTCACAAATAGCATTAGGACCACCCCCAAAAAAAACCCAAAGCCAGTTCCAAATTCAGTTTAATTCCACAAGCTTTAGTCAAGCGCCTCCCCCATAACCAGGGCAGCATTTATCAGCCTTTCCAGGCTTACCCAGTGCTTTGCCATGAATTGCCTCTGGGCCTGCCCTCAAGGGGCTTACCTTCCATTGGGAGGAGGCCAGGTTCAAAGTCACTGGAGTGAGGAAAGGCACTAGCCACTGGGAGCCCCAGGAAAGTCCTCCTGTAGAGGCAGAGGCAGGACTTAGGAGAGACAGCCTGGGCAAAGGTGTGGGGGTGGGGGATGGCATATCGATAGACTCCTTGGTGAGGGGCAGTAACGTGCTTCAGGTTAGACAGGTGGACGGACGCCAAATTGCTTAGGGCCTTGAACGCTGGGCCAAGGTGCTTGTGTTTCTTCCTGGAAACAGTCGGAAAATAAAAAGAAAGATGACTTTTCGAAAAAGGCAATGACGGGGGAGACGGAGGGGCTGGAGGCAGAGAGGTCAGCTGGTCTGGGTGAGAAGGGAGGAGGGCTGGGTGTGGGCCACAGCCGTGAGGAGGACGATGGGGGCTTGGGGGAGGTTGAGGAGCCGCTCCTGACTGTGTCTGCCTGGGGGCATGCGGCTGAGACCCAGAGAGGCACATCTGGGGCTCTCCCTGAGGCGCCGCCTCCAAGGGCGACCCCCATGGCTTGGAAACCCACATCTTCAGCCTAGGCACAGACCCAGGTTCGAGTGAGTGAAAACTTGTCTCAGCGGGTTCCCCTCCTCAGCACTCTCGCCCAGTGAAGGGGAACAGTCCCAGGCCTCTCTTGACATGGCCCGGAGAGGGGAAAACCAGCAGCTTGGAGGCAAAGCCGCCCAGCCCATCACCTGCTGCCCATGAAGAATGAGCTGGAAGATGCCCAGGCCTCCACCGATTAATGGCTCACTGGACCAGGGTCAGGTGATAGGAGCATCTCAACAGGAGCTTCTGTGCTCTGAGCAGACCGCCCTCTGAGGAGGGGGCTCAGCCTTCCATCAGCACCCTGACATCCCCCCGCCCCCTGTCCCAGTCAAGCCCTCTCTGGTGGGAGTACAGCCCAAGGGACTAGAGACCGTAAGCCCCCTCCCACAGACCCCATGCAGTTACCCAGTACTAAGCCAAGAAGGACCAGATGATTTTTCCAACTTCCTGCAGGAAGGAGACAGGCGCGGAGTCTGGAGAGGCATGGATGTCTGAAGAAATGTTTTGGGGTTTGGGGTTTTTTCTCATAGAGTTTCAGGAAACCTCCTGGGAAGAAAAGAGTGGGCAGTCACATGCAGGAACAGCCTGTGACCAGGATCTTGGGGTCCGGCCATCCCCTTAACGTCACCCTAGACAGCAACCTTGGCCTGCCCTCCCCTGCAGGTCATTCACGCAGCCAGGGTGCCCAACTCCATCCTTGCTCCTTCCCCAGCCAGGACACCATGCGCCTCGCTTTACCAGCACAGCCCTCGTGGGCTGAGCTAGATGGATGTCCTCTCTTCTTTAGAACGTGCCCTTTGACATGCTG